TCATGGTGTTACAGGGTTCTACCTTCTAGATATCCAGCCTCCTTTTTAGCCACTGGGATCCAGATCTAAAAATGGTGAGTTCAAGGTGCTCTACAAATTATTGTGGCATTTTATTGGGATAACAGCCCTCAGTTTCCTGCTCCTTAATTCTCATCCTTATTTGATTGTATATGTTTAGTAGCATCCTTGTTGACTGCAATCTACTTTGTCCAGGGATGCTAAAACAACCATCTCTATAACTTTGCAGGAGTAATGTCTCATCATTTTCCTCCAGTTGTACTGGTTATTACAGTAATTTTGACCTCTCATGTTTTAGACATTATATGTTGCCACCTGGCCTCTATTAGTTTAGGGCTCATTAATCTCAATGGCTTTTAATGAGCCTTATTTTATGACTGTTTCTCTTCTTTTCTTTTTTTTTTTTTTTTTTTTTTTTTTGAGACGGAGTCTGGCTCTGTCGCCCAGGCTGGAGTGCAGTGGCTGGATCTCAGCTCACTGCAAGCTCCGCCTCCCGGGTTCACGCCATTCTCCTGCCTCAGCCTCCCGAGTAGCTGGGACTATAGGCGCCCGCCACCGCGCCTGGCTAGTTTTTTGTATTTTTTAGTAGAGACGGGGTTTCACCGTGTTAGCCAGGATGGTATCGATCTCCTGACCTTGTGATCCGCCCGTCTCAGCCTCCCAAAGTGCTGGGATTACAGGCTTGAGCCACCGCGCCCGGCCTGTTTCTCTTATTTTCAAACTGAACCTGCAGTGAGCAGTCACTGCTGAACTTCTTAATGATATCGATATCCTTTTTATAAGTATATTCCTGATAGTCCTAGTAAAGAGTGTGTCCTTGGAGCCTATCCTGTAAAAATATATTCTTCCGGTATTTGTTGTTGTTGTTTTCTTTGCTTTGCATTATAAACATTTTCTACATGACTACTTCTTTGGGTTTCTATTTTTCTTCCTTGTGTGCCAGAGCACCTTGGACAGTTCTACTTCACTCAGCTTCTAAGCCTCACCTAGTGGTAAGTTTGTCTCAATCTCTGGAGTTTCTGCTTTGATAAATTGTCCCCTGGTCAATTACTTATTACTTCTTACTTGTCATGTTTGACATTCTGGTTCCCTGATTAAACACTCTAAAAATCCAAACTCAGAATAACTTTCTTGGCCCTTGCCAGCACGTGATATCTAATTCCAACTTCTTTTGTTTATAATTTCTTTCTTCCTTTATCAGCCTCAGTACGCTCCTAGCCAGGTTATACTGGAATTAATTATAATTTTGCTGGGTGCAGCTTCTGAGGAAAGCAATTATCTCCTAGTGATAAAAAGGCCTCTTCTGTACAATGTACTGTTAGGGCCTAATAGGGACTGATGGGGTACATCTTCAAGCTCTGAGGGTTCAAGCAAATTCACAAAGCCAGTATCCTGAGGAGTTACATATGGTCAGGTTTTCATAACTAAGGCCTGACTTTTGCGTAACAGATCTTGTTTGGCTGAGCATAAAATGTATTTGAACGTCTGCAACACTATCAGATTGTCAGCTGGATAGTCAGTATTTACTGCTCTTAAGCAAATATATTTTTTGGTTGTCACAGCATTTTATTGTTTGTTAATCAATACAACTTCCTACACTCTTCAATGAGTTCATTCAAATTAGCACTAAACAGCCAGTATGGCTATCCTGTTATGACTTGTCAGCCTTCAGATATGTAAAATGCCTGAATCATTGCACCTGAAAAGGTGAGGACTTCCACCATTCCCCCAAGCATCTGCAAGATAAACCCTTGGCAATTCAGATGTCATCTGGTATCATGCTCTATTAGTGATCCTCCTACCATTAAATATAATGTCTACTTTTTCTGCCAGTCAAGGAATGACTAACACCTATTTCTTCATTTTGCTATCTTTTCTCTTAAATATTTGGTATCATTTGCATTTGTTTAGGACCACGGAGTGGCAGATGGCAAGAGAGAATTAGACTTTCAAGACATTTATTGTAGGGAGAAGAAAGAAAAGAATAGTAGATTCTTTATATCATACATCTATATATTCTTTATATCATATATCTATATATTCATAATGCTGGTCTGATACACATAGAAGGAGATAGGGAAGAAAAAAAGGATTAGGAGGAAAATTCTCTGATGTAGCATGATTTCAACAGAGGTTTGGATTCAAAAGAAGGAGTCCTTGAGCCACAGTCACCTGTTGGAAAACTCTCATAACACCCAGTAATGAGTCCATTGTGTATTCACATTGTACTGAGTCATTGACTGGGAGAAATCTGGGGAAAGTATGATCTTAGTGGGAATACAGTTGTGGATCCAAAAATATAGCATCTAGAGTGTCCAGTAAAATATAGACCCACAGCAGATGCGAGAAACACATTTACACAGCTATCCTGTATCTGATTTCACATTTTATATTTAAGTTTATGGGCTCCCCATGTGTCTCTACTCAAAGGTATTAAGTAACTTGTGCATTAACATTGAGGCTGGAGAATTTAAGGACTCTGGGTTAGGATGAAATAAAAACATGCAGGGAGGAAAATTTAAGAAGAAGAGAACACATCTTTTCTCAAACATATTTCTCTTACTTCAGAATATTTCCTAGAATCAACTTTGCCTACATATGAAAGTCATCTACCTGTTTAAAATGTAACACAAAAGAGCAATTTGTCACACTGAAATACTTTATGTGAGGATTGGGGGAGAAAGAACACACAGTATGAAAAAAAAAATCAGCAAATTTAATCTCAGTGCAAAAGAAATGTATGCATTTTCCCCTTAGGAGTCATGTAGCCCTTAGTCTGTAATGCTTTACCTTTGATTTCCTGATTCTACTATTGCAGGGAGTTAAAATATCTCCCTGTTTGCTTCTTCATTCCGTTGTTCTTTTTTCCCCCTGAAAACTTACCTTTATATTTTCTACAAGTCTTTGGAGTATTAGCAAGAACAGTGCAATATAAAATAATCCTGGAAAATGGAAGCATAAGATTCAGGTACTTATGAACAACATCATTTGCTGTGATGTTGATAAAATATCCAGCAGTGACTGGTTAATGACCTTTGGGTTTGTGCTTATGTTCACATACCCAGAGTATAAGCGGTTGTGGAGATCAATCTTTTGTGGTAAGTTTTTACAGTTCATGTGAAAAAGAAAAAATAAATATCTAGCACCCAGGGTTGCCTAATGCAAATATTCTTCTGATTCTCACTGTGAAATGCTTTTGCTGTTGTTGTTGTTATTGAGGATAATTTCTCACTTTGGAGTAAAACAAATCTTGGGTCTCGTCACTGTCTGAAGAGAAACACATCACTAAGATCAAATATCTTACATACATAAAGTTAAATTTTAATTGATGCTAAAATTGTATCTTTCCACAGAGAACAGAGATGTTTAGTGTGTGGATTTTAAAATGAACTTTTTCTTTACTAGAAATATATAGTCAACTCCATCGGTAGGAGTGAAAAACAACAGAATATATCTTAGCAGCTTAGTTATAATGCATACTAGGCTACAGGCAGTAGCTCAGATCACAAAATCATCGAAGGTGAGAGTCAGAGGTTATATGATATCTGCCCTTTCCCTGCATATGAGGGTATTCTAAGCTTGGGTTATAAGTGGAATGGAATGGCATCCAGCTGTTGAATTCAGCTGAGAAGTGCAGGTGAGAAAAGTGCTTAATACTTGAAACATAAGGTGCAAAAAACAGTATTTAAAACACTAAGGACACTTTTGAAATTAGTAGGGAAAGGATTCTAAATGAAAACTGGCAAAATGATGGGACAGGCTTGAATCAATAAGCTTCTATGGATTCAGGGAAAAGCTGAACAAAAGTTTACTATAGTTTTATAGTAAAGCTGATAGTTTCCTATAGTTTTATATTGTAGCTCAGGAAGTTGGAAGGCTATAGGGTTACGGGAAAGAGGTACAAGAGATAAAGGCAGTCACTCAGAGAGTTTTCTTCTGAGTAGAAGTTCACTTTTCTTTGGTATAGCAGCCATGTTCATTGTCTTGTACATTTTTATTATTAATAGGAAGCTACAGTGATTCTTACTCTACCTGCTCTATACCACTCCCACCTGTCTGGCCTCCTTAAACCAGAATTATGTACAGTAGGCAACATGCTCCATGGGGTTTCCAGAATTGCTGGAGGGATGCACAGTTTCCCTCAACTGCAATATAGAATATATTTTTTTTTAGTCTTAACTTTAGTCCATTTAAAATTCTCTAAATAGATTTCTTCTGGAATCTCTTCTAGTTTCTATGCCAATCAGTTCTTTCAGATGTAGCAAAGACACATCATTGATTCCTTCTATTCTTGTCTGATTTAGTAAAACTTATCATAACCAAATTAACATAAAAATTAACATAACTGAAATATAACTTCTGATTTTTTTTCCTCCCATCAAATCTATTTTCCCCCAATCTTTCCTATTTCTGGAAATGGGATCATCATATGCCCAGTTGATTAAGCCTTTATTTTCTAACCACACATATATTATCATCAGAAACTCTTGTAGCTCCATCATCAAAATAAATTTAAAAACCCCTACTCCACCACGAATATCCTCTTTTTATCATCATCTCTCACTTGTACTATAGAAGTAGCAGACTAGCCAATATTTGTACTGCTGGTCTTTCCCTCTTGCAATCTGTTCTCTAAATAGCAGCAAGCTATCTGTTTAAAATGCTCATCAGTGCACATCCTTTCTTAATTAAATACATCTAATAGTCTCCTATTACTGTTAGAATTTGAAACTCTCTTTAATGGTCAACATTAGCCTGTCAGATACGCTATGGCTTAAGCCTTTGACCTTATCCATTCTACTTTTTTTTTTTTTTTCCTCACTGAACTCCTGCCTCTCTAATCTTTCAACTTCTCCTGTACAATTTCCATATTATTGATTATTTTAGAATCACTTTTATTCCTTTTGCCTGTAATATTTTGCTCCAGATGCTAAAGAAGTAGCATCCTAAATGGCTGATGCCTTCTCAGAAGGTGGCCTTCTTCCCATATGTCAGTCCTTGACTATTTTATCTAGAATAAGCCCCGCCCATCTCAGTTATGGCCTATTACTTTTTATACTTTTTTTTTTCTTGACAATTGAATATTATCCGAAATTCTACCAACTTCATTTGTCCCTGGACGAATCATTCATCTGACCATGTTGAGATGAATCCACTGACATTCCATTTTCTGAAAATCTTCTTATATTAGTCAGGGTCCTGGAAGGAAAAAAAAAAGGCACATTCAAAATTGACAATTTGCAAGAGTGTGAGTTTAAGAAAACCAACAAAGGACAGTGCCATGTGCCAGGAATAGTGCAAGCTGGAGCACTTCTCACCCCGAGTCTGAAGGAACAAAGAGTAGAGTAGAAATGCTTATCATAATATGAATGGTACGCATACAGAAAGAGCCACGAGAGACTTGTGACTTTGGGTCAATAGACAATAAACTCCACCAGACCTAAAAGATAGGACGCAATTAACACTTCAGCTTTCCTTCTTTCCATATTCCTTTTAATTCTCAGAATACAATTTAAATTCATATTGCTTATTTGATAAAATATAAATATCTTTCACTATTAAGCTACCTAATTTTCTTGTGTGTGGTGAATTACACTGTAACAATTTTTGCCAGAATATCAAACACTATTATGTTGTCAAATATAATAGCTACTTCTCTCTTCTCATTCTCAAGCTCTCAGCGACATTTGTCCTAGAACAAGAAGAGGATCCTGGAGACCTGGTAGAAATGCATCTTAAGAGTCCAGGCAAGTTGATAGTTTAGAGTAGTAGTAAATGTTACTAGAAGTTACAAGAAAATAATAGATAGTGACTTGGAGGTAAGACTGTCTTAGAAAGTGCTGTTAGAAAGAGGGGCAGCCACAAAGGGGCGGAGAACTGTGAGACAAGTCATCTTTGAGGTAATAAGTGACCCAAAGAAGTATTTTTTCAGACGCTGTCCTAAATGCTTCACAGGTATTAATTAATTTAATCTTCACTATAACAATATGAAATAAAGATCAGGTCTTGCTATATTGGGAGGAAACTGTTTTTTTGGGGGGAACCCAACTGGCACAGAAAAATTAAGGAACCCCACCAATAATACTAGTATTTTTCAATAGTCATCTATTAGCATTCATGATTTGCTCCTAGGGTGCAAAGTAATGTTGGAGATATTACAGAAAGAAATTATTCTATTCAATTGTCATTTAAGAAAAAAATTTCTAAGAAAATCTAAATGGAGGTATTTATTAAAAGTGGTTTTAGAAATCTGGTAGTATATGATCATAACTTTTCTCTGTGAAAAATAACATTTAGTAGTTTTGATAAATATCAATTATAAGAAAAAGAAAAATAAATTCTTTTTTACATTTTAAAATATTCTAATAGGTTTGACTCAGTGGCTCATGCCTATAAAGCCCGGCATTTTAGGAGGCCGAGATGGGAGAAATGTTTAAGCGCAAGAGTTCAAAATCAGCTTGGGCAACATAGTGAGATGCTGTCCCCAGGAAAAAATAAAAATACAAATAAAAATTAGCTGAGTGTTGGGGAAAATTATTTGCACCCAGGAGGATGAGATGCAGTGGACTATGATTGTATCACTGTACTCCAGCCTATGCCTCAGAGCAAGACTGTGTCTCAAAGAACAGTATTAAAAATTAAAATACCCTAATAATTTTCACTTCAATTTTGCAAGGAGTATTTGCATATTCTATTTCAGAATAAATATTTATTTTTTTCTCTAGGTAGGCAGGATTTTATGGAAAAAACATACAGATCACGTTGAAGCAGTATATATTAAATGTTCTATTTATATTAAAACTAGTATACTTTAATCATTCCACATTTGGCTTTTAAAACAAAATACTTGGTTTTCCCTTATCTTTAACATAGTTTTTCATTCATTTCACTCATTTCTCATAAATAAATGACATTTGTTTAAAGCAAAATTCCAGAGTTCCTTATAATTTCAGTAAGGGTAATAAATCAGAGAAACCAAAAATTAAGAAAAGGAAATTTTTCAAAAATATGTTAAATTAGCAGAAAGATAAGACTCAAATTTTACAAATTAAATGTTTGGGGAATGGTGTTTCTTGCAAAAACTATAGGTTTTTATGTCATTGTGAAATCTTCAAGTTTCACAATATTAAGCTATCTAGATCTCTCTGTATATTTATTATCACAAAGATTTATCTTGAATAGTCCCTATATGATCTACATAATACTGTTAATATAAAAGTAACTATGATTGTTGTTTTATTTTGATTAGTATTATTATTCATGTTACACTTACTAGATCAGAGTTCTAGTTACTTCAAACTCATCAGGATCTCAATAAATCAGCTTTTGCGTACTCTAAAAGAAAAATAATGAAAGGAAATGTATTTGACCATCATTGTATTATAGGTAGTATTTAAAGTTGTAGTAATTAGTTAGGTCACTTAAAGAGTGAGTGAAGATAGAGAACAAATTAAAGACAAGGAACAAAGAATTCAGAGTTAGGAGGAGGAAAACTAAAGAAGCTCAATTTGCTAACTAAAAGAGCTGGAAAGTGTGGTGTTCAAAACTATATTAATAACTTAGTGAGCATCTGTCCAAATCTCTTCATGCTCTTATAATCATGTATAAATATGAACATATATTTTCACCTATCCTATATTTCACAAATGCGCCTGTTTATGCGTGAATAGTGTGTGTACGTTGTTTCTTAAAAATAGTATCTATTAGTGAATTTGAGCAACAGTTCATATTTTTTGTCATTTGATTATCTGCAACTTGTTTGTACTGTTTCTATAATTTAAATACTTATATATTTTAAGAACATTCATCTCTATCATGTTTATGAATTTTATAGTTTGAAATAATTTGGACCTCTGGTTTGTATAGAATGTTGATAAAATTCTTGGGCTTTGCAATTAAATAAATCTAAAAATAAAAGCTAATGTTGGTCTTTTATATGGATAGTAGTTAAATTTTTTAATCCATGTTTTTTTTTTTTTTCATTTAATAATAGTAGTATCTTGTGTGGGTATTATGAAACTAAGAAGTCAATATTTAGTATCAGTTTGAATGAAAATATATAATAGGGACTCACATACCGGTAGTATAATTGTTATTAATGAAAAAATGTAGTCAGATATTTTTATTTCTTAAAATTAATTGGATATGTGAATAAAAAGCAACAATCTAAGGGTATTATTGCAATTCATGTCAGAGCTATGTATAAATCAACTTGAGATGTTTCAGAATCATTAAGGAATTGTACATCACATTAAAAAATGGTCTGAACACTGTAGCTTATCTGAAATACTGAATTAAAATTTAAAATTTCAATACTTTAATTAAATAATCACAGTAACTTTACATATGTAAATGATTTTGGTAAGTAAGCAATTGTTCTCTATTAATTTTCATCCATTCTTCCTTGGCCATGCCTCTTATCATTAGAGGCAATAGGATTCAAATATTCTAATTCTGGTTGCTTTTCAACTCTTAATTTACAAAAATTTGCACCAAAGATGGCCGAATAGCAACAGCTCCAGTCTCCAGCTCCCAGCGCAGGCGACACAGAAGACAGGTGATTTTTGCATTTTCAACTGAGGTACTGGGTTCATCTCACTAGGGAGTGCCGAACAATCAGTGCTGGTCAGCTGCTGCAGCCTGACCAGTGAGAGCTGAAGCAGGGCGAGGCATCTCCTGACCTGGGAAGTGCAAGGGGGAAGGGAATCCCTTTTCCTAACCAGGGGAACTGAGACACACAACACCTGGAAAATCGGGTAACTCCCACCCCAATACTGCACTTTACCAAGGGTCTAGAAAGTGGACACACCAGGAGACTATATCCCACTCCTGGCTGGGAGGGTCCCACGCCCACGGAGCCTCCCTCATTGCTAGCACAGCAGTCTGCGATCTAACTGCCAGGCAGCAGCGAGGCTGGGGGAGGGGCGTCCGCCATTGCTGAGGCTTAAGTAGGTAAACAAAGCCGCTGGGAAGCTCGAAGGGGGTGGAGCTCACAGCAGCACAAGGAGGCCTGCCTGTCTCTGTAGACTCCACCTCTGGGGACAGGGCACAGCTAAACAGCAACAACAACAACAACAACAAAAGCAGCAGAAACCTCTGCAGACGCAAACGACTCTGTCTGACAGCTTTGAAGATAGCAGTGGATCTCCCAACATGGAGGTTGAGATCTGAGAACGGACAGATTGCCTGCTCAAGTGGGTCCCTGACCCCTGAGTAGCCTAACTGGGAGACATCCTCCACTAGGGGCAGACCGACACCCCACACCTCACAGGGTGGAGTACACAAACTCCATGCAAAACATGCAAAAACATGCCAAAATGTAAAGACCATCGAGGCTAGGAAGAAACTGCATCAACTAACGAGCAAAATAACCAGTTAATATCATAATGGCAGGATCAAGTTCACACATAACAATATTAACGTTAAATGTAAATGGACTAAATAGTCCAATTAAAAGACACAGACTGGCAAACTGGATAAAGAGTCAAGACCCATCAGTGTGCTGTATTCAGGAGAACCATCTCACATGCAGAGACATACATAGGCTCAAAATAAAGGGATGGAGGAAGATCTACCAAGCAAATGGAGAACAAAAAAAAGCAGGGGTTGCAATCCTAGTCTCTGATAAAACAGACTTTAAACCATCAAAGATCAAAAGAGACAAAGAAGGCCATTACATAATGGTGAAGGAATCAATTCAACAGGAAGAGCTCACTATCCTAAATATATATGCACCCAATACAGGAGAACCCAGATTCATAAAGTAAGTCCTTAGAGACTTACAAAGAGACTTAGACTCCCATACAATAATAATGGGAGACTTCAACACCCCACTGTCAACATTAGACAGATCAACAAGACAGAAAGTTAACAAGGATATCCAGGAATTGAACTCATCTCTGCAGCAAGCAGACCTAATAGACATCTACAGAACTCTCCACCCCAAATCAACAGAATATACATTCTTCTCAGCACCACATCACAGTTATTCCAAAATTGACCACATAATTAGAAGTAAAGCACTCCTCAGCAAATGTACAAGAACAGAAATTATAACAAACTGTCTCTCAGACCACAGTGCAATCAAACTAGAACTCAGGACTAATAAACTCAATCAAAACTTCTCAACTACATGGAAACTGAATAACCTGCTCCTGAATGACTACTGGGTACATAAGGAAATGAAGGCAGAAATAAAGATGTTCTTCAAAACCAATGAGAACAAAGATACAACATACCAGAATCTCTGGGACACATTTAAAGCAGTGTGTAGAGGGAAATTTATAGCACTAAATGTCCACAACAGAAAGCTGGAAAGGTCTAAAATTGACACTCTAACATCACAATGAAGAGAACTAGAGAAGCAAGAGCAAACTCATTCAAAAGCTAGCAGAAGGCAAGAAATAACTAAGATCAGAGCAGAACTGAAGGAGATAGAGACACAAAAAATCCTCCAAAAAATCAATGAATCCAGGAGTTGGTTTTTTGAAAAGATCAACAAAATTGATAGACCGCTAGCAAGGATAATAAAGAAGAAAAGAGAGAAGAATCAAATAGACACAATAAAAAATGATAAAGGGGATATCATCACTGACCCCACAGAAATACAAACTACCATCAGAGAATACTATAAACACCTCTATGCAAATAAACTAGAAAATCTAGAAGAAATGGATAATTTCCTGGACACTTACACTCTCCCAAGACTAAACTAGGAAGAAGCTGAATCTCTGAATAGACCAATAGCAGGCTTTGAAATTGAGGCAATAATTAACAGCCTACCAATCAAAAGAAGTCCAGGGTCAGATGGACTCAACGGCTGAATTCTACCAGAGGTACAAGGAGGAACTGGTACCATTCCTTCTGAAACTATTCCAATCAATAGAAAAAGAAGGAATCTTCCCTAACTCATTTTATGAGGCCAACATCATCCTGATACCAAAGCCTGGCAGAGACACAACAAAAAAAGAGAATTTTAAACCAATATCCCTGATGAACATCGATGCAAAAATCCTCAATAAAATACTGGCAAACCGGATCCCACAGCACATCAAAAATCTTATCCACCATGATCAAGTGGGCTTCATCCCTCGGATGCAAGGCTGGTTCCACATACGCAAATCAATAAACGAAATCCAGCATATAAACAGAACCAGAGACAAAAACCACATGATTATCTCAATAGATGCAGAAAAGGCCTTTGACAAAATTCAACAGCCCTTCATGCTAGAAATGCTCAATAAATTCAGTATTGATGGAACATATCTCAAAATAATAAGAACTATTTATGACAAACCCACAGCCAATATCATACTGAATGGGCAAAAACTGGAAAAATTCCCTTTGAAAACTGGCACAAGACAGGGATCCCCTCTCTCACCACTCCTATTCAACATAGTGTTGGAAATTCTGGCTAGGGCAATCAGGCAAGAGAAAGAAATAAAGGGTATTCAGTTAGGAAAAAAAGAAGCCAAATTGTCCCTGCTTGCAGATCACATGATTGTATATTTAGAAAACCCCATTGTCTCAGCCTAAAATCTCCCTAAGCTGATAAGCAATTTCAGCAAAGTCTCAGGATACATAATTAATGTGCAAAAATCACAAGCATTCTTATACATCAGTAACAGACAAACAGAGAGCCAAATCATGAATGAACTTCCATTCACAATTGCTTCAAAGAGAATAAAATACCTAGGAATCCAACTTACAAGGGATGTAAAGGATCTCTTCAAGGAGAACTACAAACCACTGCTCAGTGAAATAAAAGAAGACACAAACAAATGGAAGAACATACCATGCTCATGGATAGGAAGAATCAATATCGTGAAAATGGCCATACTGCCCAAGGTAATTTATAGATTCAATGCCATACCCATCAAGCTACCAACGAGTTTCTTCACAGAATTGGAAAAACCTGCTTTAAAGTTCATATGGAACCAAAAAAGAGCCTGCATTGCCAAGACAATCCTAAGTGAAAAGAACAAAGCTGGAGGCATCACGCTACCTGACTTCAAACTATACTACAAGGCTACAGTAACCAAAACAGCATGGTACTGGTACCAAAACAGAGATATAGACCAATGGAACAGAACAGAGTCCTCAGAAATAATACCACACATCTACAGCCATCTGATCTTTGACAAACCTGAGAAAAACAAGCAATGGGGAAAGGATTCCCTATTTAATAAATGCTGCGGGGAAAATTGGCTGGCCATAAGTAGAAAGCTGAAACTGGATCCTTTCCTTACTCCTTATACGAAAATTAATTCAAGATGAATTTGAGACTTAAATGTTAGACTTAATACCATAGAAACTCTAGAAGAAAACCTAGGTAA